GATGTAGTATTAATACATGCGTGATAATATTATTGTAGATGTAGTATTAATACATGTGTGATATTATTATTGTAGATATAGTATTAATACATGTGTATTAATATTATTGTAGATATAGTATTAATACATGTGTGATAATATTACTGTATAAATAGTATTAATAAATGTGTGATAATATTATTGTATAAATAGTATTAATCCATGTGTGATAATATTATTGTAGATATAGTATTAATACATGTGTGATAATTTTATACAATAATTAATATTATCACACATGTATTAATACTATTGTATAAATAGTATTAATACATGCGTGATGATATTATTGTATAAATAGTATTAATACATGTATGATAATATTATTGTATAAATAGTATTAATACATGTGTGATAATATTATTGTATAAATAGTATTAATACATGTGTGATAATATTATTGTAGAAATAATATTAATACAGTTAATACAATCTTGTAAGCATAGTTGTATAATAACATTCTAAATGTGTGATACTATTATTGTATAAATAGTATTAATACATGTGTGATAATATTATTGTAGATATAGTATTAATACATGTGTGATAATATTATTGTATAAATAGTATTAATACATGTGTGATAATATTATTGTAAATATAGTATTAATACATGTGTGATAATATTATTGTATAAATAGTATTAATACATGTGTGATAATATTATTGTATAAATAGTTTTAATGCATGTGTGATAATATTATTGTATAAATAGTATTAATAAATGTGTGATAATATTATTGTATAAACAGTAGTAATACAAGTGTGATAATATTATTGTATAAATAGTATTAATACATGCGTGATAATATTATTGTATAAATAGTATTAATACATGCGTGATAATAGTATTGTAGATATAGTATTAATACATGTGTGTTAATATTATTGTAGATGTAGTATTAATACATGCGTGATAATATTATTGTAGATGTAGTATTAATACATGTGTGATATTATTATTGTAGATATAGTATTAATACATGCGTGATAATATTATTGTAGATGTAGTATTAATACATGTGTGATAATATTATTGTAGATGTAGTATTAATACATGTGTGTTAATATT